ATCATGAACTTGAAGAGCATCGGGCTCGGACGTCAGTGCATAGAACCCAACGATTTTGAGCCTTGTTTTTCCCTAGAGACTGCCCGGCGGTGCGTTCGAGAGCGGTCAGCAGGTGGCAGCAAAAAACTCTAAACCCTAAACCCTAAACCCTAAAGCCTAAACCCTACTACATTAGGGCGTTGCCAACCCCTCTTGCGAGAGACCCGAAACCCTCGGAGAAAGAGGCGTCCGAGCTTTGAGGCGTGGATGGCAAAGCCACCCTAAGCGGGCCAACGGTCTGCCTTGGGGCCGAGGAGTTGTATGTGCTGCTCGGCTTTGATCATCCCTAAACCCTAAACCCATGCAGGAGCCTCAAAAACTACCAGTACCCTTCAGGGATTCTTCTGCGAGCCGCCCAGACTTCCCGTTCGAGTTACGTGGGCCCCTTTTATGATCTTTTATGGTATATTGGTGGCGAAGACACCCTAAGCCCCAAACCCCAGTTATACCTATACAGATAGATAGATATAAATATATATATATATATACATATATATATATATTATATATGCCCTGCCATGTGGACTTTCGCGCCCTCGATGGATGGCTGGAAATTCCTTGGGACATGATTTACCAATCCTCGCCACGGTGCTAACATTCTAGCAGGAGATTTAGCGGTGACAAGTGTCAGCCAGCTGATGACGTAGATGGTAAAAAGAGTTAGCTTGTGGAAGCCTAACATTGTGGCCGAGTTATTCTTTGAACAGCTGCCTGTTTTGAAATAATGATTACCTGAAAGGAGTAGGGTTTCGGGTTTAGGGTCGAGGGTTTAGGGAGTATGTTGCTCCTGTGTCACTCGAGAACATCGAAGCCATCAGGTCAGCTTGCTGAGTGCCGCATCCTGAAGCCCTTGAAAACCCATGTTCCACACTTTAAGGCCCGCGTGCTATCAGCACTTCTGCGAGAAGATCGTCGCTGCCACCGGGAAGGAGCTCATCTTCGACACAGCTTGGGCAGGACCCGGATGCCGCAGCCCTGCTTCCCCCTGCTGTGGCTAAGAAGTTTAGGGTTCAGGGTTCAGGGTTCAGGGTTCAGGGTTCAGGGTTTAGGGTTTAGGGTTTAGGGTTTAGGGTTTAGGGTTTAGGGTTTAGGGTTTAGGGCTCTAAGAAGTTCGGGCTTCAAGGAAGCCATCCCTGAGCTTAACAGGAGCAGAAGACGAGACAAGTGACGTGCTTAGAGCGTCCCCAGACCTTCCAAAACCCCTTAATTTAGGTATATACTCTAATTCATAATAAGGATCCTTAGTATAAATTAGGGAATATTCCTTAATTAAGGGGTTTTGGAAGATCTGGGTCGTCGCTTGCAACACGAGCCAGTGACATGATCAACAAGACCGTTGTTCCCCCCCGCCCTCTCCCCCCTCTGCCCCCTACATATCGTTATACACATGTATATATGTATACATAAATATACCCTAAACCCCAAACCCTTATATATGTACATGTATAGATCTGTGCAGCTGCCGGAAGCGCCCGAGGCCAGCCTAAAGGCTTCTCGCCAGACAAGGGAGCGACCCAGTCGAACGCTGAGCTAAATCCGGCGTTTAGGGTCTAGGGTCTAGGGTTTGAGGTGTCAATTGAAGTAATTCAGGGTGCTAACGGCTTATAAGGATTGGCGTGTTTAGAGGGTGTATGCAAAACACTGTGTCCCGCGGACTGGGGCTGCCTCAAGGAAAAACAATGTGTTGGTGTGGCCAGGGGGGGGGAAGCCCCAAATCTTGACCATGAGTACCCCTGAACCCTAAACAAAGAACCCTAATTCCCAAGCCCTAAACCCATGCAGCGGACACCCTAAACCCGTGACGCCGACGGGAAGTATCACCCCCCCAAACATGAAACCGACGAACGAAGCCCTGCCTGCCTTGAGGGAGCGTCTGAGAGTCGAACCCTCAAACCCTAGGCCCCAAAATCCCAAAAACCCGAAGACCCTAAATACCCTAAACCGCCCTAAACCCTCAACCCTTCAATGGCACCCCGGGAAGAAAGGGCCAAAGGCCACGCGACTGAGCGAGGAGCTCCACAGAGGCCCCTCCGAGGCTCAGTCAACATGCTGGTTTAGGGTTTCGTGTTTGGGGTTTAGGGTTTAAGGGTCTTACAAGGTTTATAATATCTACGTACACACACACACACACATATATATATATATATACATATGTATATGTATATGTATATGTATATGCATATATGTATATAGCTGAATATTTGGGGCTACCATTTGCTTAAGAGAACACCCCAAAAATCAAAGTTAATAGTCCCTATATTACCATTATAAGGAGGAGGATTTCTCATTATTATTATACTTATTATGACTATTATTAGTATGATTATTATTCTTATGTTTTACTACTATTTTTTGTGGGGAAGTCTGAAGCACATCGTAGAGGCTCTTTCAAGGTTTATACTATCTACGTAGAATTGTATATTATATATATATACATACACCACACAGTTTTGTGTACTGTGTATATATATATATGCACAACTGAGGAATATCTATATATATATATATATACATATAGTAAATAGATAGGGTTTGCCAGGGCTTTCTGCAGGGCCCAGTTCTGATGAGGCTTGCGGCCTCCGAGCCCGAGACGGAGCAGTCTCCGGAGAAAGGAGCCGATGCTTTTGGCGGGGCTTGGGGGGCTTGGGGGGGGTTTAGGGTTTAGGGTTTAGGGTTTAGTTTTTAGGGTTTAGGTTTTAGGGTTTAGGGTTTAGGGGGGTTTCGGGGTTGAGGTTAGGGTTAGATGCAAAAAGGGGGGGTCAGGGTTTGAGGGTTTTGGGGTTCACCGCGGGAACGAAGATTGCAAGGTCATTGTAGTGCCGGATTCTCCGGTAATTCTCTTTAGGGCTTCCTGTGAACCCCCGATGTAGGTACACCTTCCCGCACTGGCCGCGTGAACCCCGCAGGCAACTGGAACCCGAAGCTCTAAACCCTAAACCCTAAACCCTAAACCCAAAACCCTAAACCCCTCAGGCAGCTGGAACTCGAAGCTCTTACCGGCTTAGCTGCCTGGGGTTCCTAGCGGCGATCCAAGATCGAAGCTGGGCGACGGCCCCAGGGACGTTGTGACGTTCTAGGAGTGATGTTCCCCCTTCTACTAACAGTCCTTAATAAGGATTATCGTATCCCCTACTAGAATTACTAGTAAGGACTGTTAGTATAGGGGGAGAATGCCAATTTATAGGTTTGCAGGCGAGCCTCATGTGGAAGAGGGCTTGCAGGTCCGGGGGCTTGGGGATGTCTAGGGCGTGCGGGTCCATTCGGGTTCGCGGCATCGCCTTCAGTCCCTGGCTTAAAAAACCCTAAACCCTAAACCCTAAACCCTAAACCCTAACAAAAAAACACGGGCTCCGGGCTTGCAATTGCGCGTTCATGCTTGGGTGGGGTCGGTTCTGCTCCTTGCCAAGCACCTGCATGGCAATACCCGCTGTAGACACGATACACCTTAACCCGCCAGTATCATATGGGTGGCTGTTAAAGTTATGATCCCTTTTGGGGTACCCTAAATATTAGGTGCTGTATGAGAATAGGGATCCAAAAAGGGATCATCATTTTGACAGCCGCCCATATGGGCTTTTGGGTTTGGCTTGCCGATCGGAGTCATCCCTTTAAGGATTTGAACATGTCGGGCAGTTGTGCCAGCTTCGAGCCTTCAACGTCCAAGCCGGACAGGTCAACGAATCGAGAGGCTGCTTGAGACATGAAAACTTAAAGGCTGGAAACATATGTGTGTGTCGAATGCATTGAACCGCGACAGGAGGCTCGTTTCCAAAGAACGGTTTTGATATACTTCAACCCGATCAGGTTGGTGGACCGACATGTGCTGAGGGGCAGCGCACGTCTGTAGCATGAGGGTCTGAATACCCGAGTCAACCGTACCTTGAAACCCTCTTTACCTACAGTTTTATGGGTTCTACCTACTACTTAAGGGTAGTTAGTAGGTACTCCTAAACGGTAGGTACATGAGACCCAGGAAAGCACACTATTCAGACCTGTCTGCCTAGAAATGCGGGGTATCCTGCAGCGGTGAAGAGGAAAGCTGTGTGTAGCGAGCAGAGAAGCATCCACGGAGAGGCCCGAGGTCGTTGAAGGCGTACCTGGGACCCTCTTTACCTACAGTTTAGTAGTAGATACCCTTAATTATTGGGCATAACCCAGAAATGGACCCTCTTTACCTACAGTTTAGTGGTAGTTACCCTTAATTAGTAGGCATAACCCAGAAATGGACCCTCTTTACCTACAGTTTAGTGGTAGCTACCCTTAATTTGTAGGTATAAGCCATGAAAACCGTAGGCAAGGAGGGTCCCAGGTACTTCCTGTCGGCACCTCGCAACACCACCTGGCCATCCCCGCCCCAAGTTACCACGGAAGTGAATAAGGAACCCGTAATGTAGACCCCATTTAGGGTTTAGGGTTTAGGGTTTAGGGTTTGGGGTTTAGGGTTTAGGGTTTAGGGTTTAGGGTTTAGGGTTTAGGGTTTAGGGGTCGCAGTCCCTTATCAAAAGGACCCCAAGAAGCGAACCCGAACTTCGGAAACCACCATTTGCACGACGATGATCTCACGAGTGGGTCGCTACACGACAACTGCATTGTGCTCTGAGATCCTCCATAACAAAGGGGCAAAGGCGATCGTTGCAGTCACCGCTCCAAGTTCCATGCCGCCGCGAGCCGCAGGGTAGTTGGCTCTGGCTTGTTTTGCTGTGCAGCAACATGTGGACCAGCAGAGCTAACCAACCCCGCTGTCCAGGCGCTTTCCCAAACTGACTGAATTTCTGACTTTTGGGGTCTTGTAAGCTTTCTTCCCGAAATGTCGGGATGTATGATGTAGGGCGGCAGTGCTTGCTGGAGTTCAGAGCAAAAAACCGCGCAACCCTAAACCTGAGCAGGCAATGGCCCAAGCCATCGGACTTAAGGTCATTCCCTTGGACAACCCCAGCACCTGCTACCCTAACTTCCTTACCATGGCTCTCCTCGGCGAGGCCAGCAAGAAAGGGGTGTAAGGGTACCCAAAAGGGTTTAGGGTTTAGGGTGCAAGAGTTTTGGCAGATGTCGGCTTCTGGGGTTCGGATACCAAGCATATTTCGGAGGGCTCGCGCGACATACAGAAGCTTTGGAGTTGGGATGCCCCCTGCTGGGTGCAAAAGGCTGGAGAGGCCATCAACCCTTCAGCAAACAACCCCTCCCCCCAACAACAAAAAATCAATAACAAACAAAAAGCAAACAGCTTATATATGAAAATGAAGTGCCCTATACTCCCCACTTAAGCCCTAAGCCATATCTGTCCTGCAACCCAAGCATGAAGTCCGAATCGGCACCATCGAGACCCCGTCGAACCCAAAGCCCAAGCCCGCGACCAGGCTTTTGCCCTGGGGGGCCCGCCGCCTACGCTTCCCGTTGCAAGGCCTGCGACCACAGCAACAATCCTTTTTGTGAGAAGGTATAATCACGAATAGGCATATGAATATGAACACACATGTGTATACATATATGTATATATATATGTATGTATATACATACGCGAAGCTGGCAACCAACAGCCTTGGTGTCTCAGTAACCCACAGCCGTGTGTCTCGGCAACCCAAAACCGGGCGCTGTTCCTTGCCCTCCTCTCGCATTCTGCAGGGCTTAGAGGCTTAGAGTTTGGGGTTAATTCGGAGTAAAGAAGCGGTTTCGGGTTCAGGGATGGGCAGGGGGAACTCCCCAAAGGCCCACTGCAACAAGGGCACCTTGCAAGAAGCCCTGAACGATGAACCTCAACCCTCAACCCTCCCTCAACCCTCAACCCTAAACCCCAAACCCGAAACCCGAAACCCTAAACCCCAAACCCTAAACCCGAAACCCTAAACCCTCAACCACAACCGCGCAGGCTCGCCTCAAAGCCAGGGCGGGCAGCGCATGAAGTTCCAGAGCGAGGCAGGGGCCCTTCGAGGTCTTCGGAGGGTTTAGGGTTTAGGGTTTAGGGTTTAGGGTTTAGGGTTTAGGGTTTAGGGTTTAGGGCAACTCCAGGGACTAAAGGAGGGACCCTTATAAGGGACCTTACTTAGGTATGTAGGGACTATATAAGGTACATATGGGGTTATATATAGGGCTCGAATGTACTGTACGGAAAAATTACTAACCCTATATAAATGTGCTTTTTATAACCCCCCCCCAAAAAAAAAAAAACCTCTTCTAATTATTAAGGGGAAAGATGGCCTCCCTTTTCGGCCCCTCATGCTCAGCTCCTAAACCCTAAACCCTCTTTGAGTTGACCAACGGCTCTTGTTCTCAACATCTGTTGGGCTAATGGTCCGATTTTGGTAGCCGCCGGCAGCAAGGCAAGCCTAAAACTCTGGCTCTGGCATCTTGTGAAACCCTAAACCCTAAACCCTAAACCCTAAACCCTAAACCCTAAACCCTAAACCCTAAACCCTAAACCCTAAACCCTAAACCCTAAACCGAACCCATCCTGGACATCCTAGATCTTTTGAATAGCCTGAGCATGTTCAGGAGTAGTCCCCGCAATGTACGCGAGAAACACCCCCAGGAAAAATCAAAAAAAGAAACTGTGCAAGTCGAGCCGTGCCTAGCTTGGCAGGTTGCGTTGGCCAAGGCCAAGAGTGTACTGTGAACTTGGGGTTTATAGGGTTTGGGGTTAGAACAACTTAAACGACACCCGGCGAAGAGCCTAAACCCGAGACCCTCCCACACAGCTTGACGCCAGGCTCATCGTCCACTCTTGCAGCCGCCGCCACTGTTTTGGCTGGCTGCGTTGTGGCCAAGAGGCGCGGGGTTGAGTTACCCAAGCTCGAAGACGTTGTGCCATGTCTGCTGGATTCGCTCACCCTGTTGGTACTTGAGGCCGTGTATTCTTCTTTGTGCGTTGCACTGGCTTTAATCACGCGCCCCCCCCCCCCCCACCCCCAAACACATTTGGACCCTCTGTAAAGAACTTGCCGGTAAGTCGGGCTGGCCCGCGGACTCACAAAAATTTGTTTGGGGCCTCGTTTGGGAATGAACTTCAATAAAGCTTTAAATGGAACTGGCCGGGCATAGCTTTCTGGTCTTTCAGATTCCTGGAGCCCGAGGCCCTCAGGGACTCATCCCATATTGCGTAAGCCCTGAACCCTATAAACGCAAACCCTAAACAAAAAAGCAAAAACAACTTGTGGTAATAGCGGGTCGCCCCAACAATCTGATGTCGCAGAATCAGTTTTCGAAACTTGTGCTTCTAGACCCTGGATAAACTAAAAGCAGTGCCACATGAACCTTTCAAATGCTGAATGCTGGACATCTTGTTTCCCTAAACCCTAAACCCTAAACCCCAAAAGGGGAAATGCGCATGGGAACACGACATGGCATGGTTCTTTGGCTGCCGCTCTGAAGACCCCAGAGGAGTGCTCCAAGAACCTAACCCTAAACCCTAAACCCTAAACCCATAACCCATAAACCCTAGACCCTAAACCCTAAACCCAGCGCAGGAATCCTACCACCGTGAGCCTTAAGTAACTGCCCGGGTCTTCCCCGAGCCCAAAGTTTTGGGGTTTTAGGGGTTAGGGTTTAGGATTTCACCCTGTTTAGGGTTTAGGGTTTAGGGTTTAGGATGCAAATCCGAGGAGGAGACACAGAGGAGGGCGGGGGAGTTTCTGGTTCGGATTCTCAACATCGAAGCTGCGTGGAGACGGCCATGCTCTGCATGGTAATGTGAGATCCAGGGTCACATGAATGCCTCGCTCGGTGCCTTTTTCGATTAGGATGTTAAAGTCAGAAATCTTAGCAAGGCTCACCCTAAACCCTAAATATCAAACCCAGAAAACACCAAGCCCAGAGAAGCCTCTGCTTTGAGGCGCTCCGAGCCGCGTGCCGTGTCGGTGAGGGCACGGGTGCTCAGCTTTTCGTTTCAGACGGTTCAAGTGCTCTTCGACTGAAAGGGACCTGGTGAACCCTGAAAAAGGGTTTATGGGTTTAGGGTTTAGGGTTTAAAGGTAAAGGTTATATACCTTAAGAGGGATGAGAATAGTATAGGTGTATGATCTTCTTTTCAAGGTCCATTTGCTCCCCAACGGACTGAAAGGTCGATTTACCCTCAAACCCAGTCCCCAAAAGGCCCCACGTGCAAGCTGGACGCTCTGATCTTGAAGGGTGACTTTATTACAGTAACCGAGTTAGGGTTTAGGGTTTAGGGTTTAGGGTTTAGGGTTTAGGGTTTAGGGTTTAGGGTTTAGGGCAAAATATCCCACCCTAAACCCTAAACCCTGCTCTTGCAGAGTGTGCTTGCAGAAGCCCTACACCCAAAATGGCCCGCCACAAAGATGCCTGGGCCCTTCGGGATAGGATTGCCTTAAATCCGAAACCCTAAGTTGAGCAAACCCTAAACCTTACTGCTGGTTAGTAGGGAATGAGGGAATGAGGCACCCTCTAACCCTAAACCCTAAACCCTAAACCTTAAACCCTAAACCTTAAAGGGTATATTAGGGTACCTCATTCCCTCATTCCCTACGAACCAACAGTAAGAAACCCAGCAGGCCACGTCGCTCGAAGCAGATCCCGAGGTCCGCACCTCGGGGCTCTTGTGAGCTTAGGGTTTAGGGTTTAAGGTTTAGGGTTTAGGGTTTAGGGCTTATAGGGTTTAGGGTTTAAGAACCCCCCCCAAAGGATAAACAATGATAATCCCCCCCATAATATTACCCTTAGTACCATAATCGGCCATTTGCATAAGAACCCCTAATCCCATCTTACCCTGATTAGGAAGAATGTTTTTGTTGTTTGGTTTGTTGGTGGGGTAAATACGTAGTAGGAATAGGGTTGCACACATGTATGCTGCAAGAAGTATTAGGAACCCCTCAAAAAGTAAAAGGCATTCTTCCTTATTGAGCCCACATACGGATTCTTATCTTCCAGTATTTTGGGGCTCTTGAATCCTTGGTTGAGGTTGTTTTCTGATGACGGTTAGAGACTGCTCAGTTCATGGACCCCTCCCCCCCCCCAAACCCTAAACCCTAAACCCTAAACCCTAAACCCTAAACCCTAAACCCTAAACCCTAAACCCTAAACCCTAAACCCTAAACCCTAAACCCTAAACCCTAAACCCTAAACCCTAAACCCTAAACCAAACCCTAAACCCTAAACCCGTTCCTGCAACCGCAAGCAGCGAGCCCGAAGTCTCCTCTAGCCGCTTCAAGACCCGCCGAAGCAATGGCGTTAACTTGGGTAAACATATACACCCAGAGGGTCCATCTGTAGCACTATTACGGAATTAGATACCCCAAAACCCTATTTAGTATGGTTTTGGGGTACCTAATTCCAGACTAGTACTACAAATGGACCCTCTGGGACAAGACGATGAAGCAAACACCACCCATGATGACAGATGCTATACTGGGAAAGTATAGGGTTTTTGGGTTGTTTGTAAATGTTATGCTAGGAAAGTATAGTATAGGGTTTTGGGTTGTTTGTAAATACGATGCTAGGGCAGCATAGGGTTGTGGGATATTTGTAGCAGGAGGAGGACGAGGACGGGGAGGAGGCCGGCAACCCCACGCCCTGAGCCTTCAGTTTCCCTTTCAAAGGTTGGATCCTGTGAGCTCCTTGCTTCAGGGTTTAGGGTTTAGGGTTCCCAGAAGATGCGAAAGGGTTTTAGGGGTTTAGGGTTACGGGTTTAGGGGTTTAGGGTTTAGCGTTTTTATCAGATGAGCACATTGAGAGAGTTCGAGAGATTTCATAGCTTTTCAGGCGTTCAGGATTTCACAGCTTTCAGAAGCGTTCTGCTGCTAAGCAGCTTTGCCTGGCCCTGTGTTGCTGGACAACTTGGAATAGATCTACAAAAATCCTTCACCAACCCTCAACCCTAAACCCTAAACCCTCAACCCTAAACCCCAAACCCTAAACCCTAAACTGCCTAACCCCTAAACCCTAAACCCTAAACCCTAAACCCTAAACCCTAAACCCTAGCAGGAGGGGGCGGAGGAGGAGGAGCGTGCGCCCCTCCCGTTCGATGAGGGCCGGGCCGAAGGCGCAGCAGTGACATGTAGGGGTTTCCAAAGTTAGGGTTTAGGGTTTAGGGTTTAGGGTTTAGGGTTTAGGGTTTAGGGTTTAGGTTTAGGGTTTGGGGGGGGGGGGGGGGGGGTGGCCCTTGGGACAATTTACAGTTCTTGGGTTTAAGAGTTCGGATGTTTCCCCTTGTTCTAGCAGTCCTTAGTAGGGGTTATAGCACCCCCGATTATCATCCCGATTAAGGACTGCTAGTATGAGGGGAAGATCCCAATTTAACAGGATCGTATTCAGCCCTAAACCCTTAACCCTAAACAGGGGCATGAGCTGTGCACAGGAGATGTTGCCGTTTGTTTGGATAGGATTTGGGATGTTGCCCCTTATACTAGCATTCCTTGATAGGGATTACACTAGGGGGCTAGTATAAGGGGATAACAGCTCAAGATAGGGTTTAGGGTTTAGGGTTTAGGGTTTAGGGTTTAGGGTTTAGGGTTTAGGGTTTAGGGTTTAGGGCACCGGAAGCAGATGCCATCTCCAGGAATCATCGCCGCGGTGCGCGACGCAAGAGAGCAGCAGCAGAGCGCCTCAGCTCTGCTGCAGGAGTCGGCTGCCCAGCTTACGGTTAAGGGTTTAGAGTTTAGGGTTTAGGGTTTAGGGGAGGTCTGTAATTAGTGCTGAGTTTGCGGCAGCGCCCTCAGCATTCCGGCAACGCCCTCAGTCCGGCTGCAAAAAGGGGAGGTCTTTGCAGCTCTCGAAGTTGTATGATGCGATGTGACAAGCTTTCATGGTAGCCGGAAGGTTGGAGGGGGGGGGGAACCTAAACCCTAAGCCCCTAAACTCGAAACCCTGAACCCTAAACCCTACACCCTAAACCCTAAACCCAAGATCGATCCGCGTCTCTGAGGCGAAAACTTATAACCGACGAGCCCAGCATGGTCCAGGCCTAGCGTTTGCAGCCGGGTGCTTTTCCTCACCCTAGGGTTTAGGGTTGAGGGTTTAGGTTTTAGGGTTTAGGGTTTTGGGCCCCAAAGCACTTTAAGGCCCAAGTGTATATTCATGAGGTACATGAATCCTAATTAAGGGTCATGGAACCCGTCGCAACGGAACAACATGCATTGAAGGTTCCCAAGGCATTCTGACAATGTCTTGTTCGCACTTTGGCCACAAATGACCATGATGTGTCGCTGCCCCTCCAGGCTCAAGAGCTTGGCGTTGAGGGGTCTCCGCAATAAAAAAACAAAGAACATTCGCAAGCATAGCAAATGCCAGCTTGTAGGCAGACGGCTGTAGCTGGTGAATGGGTGCCAGGGGCAGCAGGGTGGCTCCTACTGTAGGATAGCCACGCGATGTGGGATTTTAACACTGAGAGCGATACTGGGCGCACTTCTTGCTTTGCCACCGTCTGCCAGAGCAGATGGCCGCAGGAACGCGGCGGCCATGCATTCGGTGGTGACCTAGGCTGTCGAAGCAGCGCGTCGAGATTTCCAGGCGGCCGCCGAACCTTACACCTTCTCATCCCATAAACCTCAATACCCCATGCAACCTTTAAACCCTAAACCCTAAACCCTGAACACTAAGCCTTCAAAAACTGCTCAGGCCTGAGCTGTGAGCCCGAAACCCGAATCCCCAAGCCCAGACCGCTTCTGCATGTGGCACATGGCATAAGGGACCCATGATTCGCTTTCATCTCTACATGAGGGTTTAGGGTTGAGGGTTTAGGGTTTAGGGGTTTAGGGTTTAGGGTTTACTGTAGGGTTTAGGGTTTAGGGTTTAGGGTCTAAAAGTCAGCCGACGAGCCCAATGCCCGGAGTTTGCAGGCGCACGCCGAGCTTCTGCGACGAGCCCTGGGCCGCTTGACCCCCCAAGTGGACTTGACCTGCGGCCGGTTTGGGTTTTAGTGTTATGCCTCTATTTTGGGGACCACATGAACCCTAAAATTGGGGTCATCTACCCTATACTACTATAATGAATAAGTCCTATTGAGGTATACGAACCATAAACCCCTTTAGGTTTCATCTCGTCCCCAAGGCCAATCCCGAGATGACCCGAGAAAATCAAGAGATGCATTTTTCGGGCTCCAAATCCTGCAGCCCGTAGCCACTGTAAGGCTTCTTATTTGCCTTTTCTGGACACAGCTCCTTCCCTATAACCCTAAACTTAACAAAAAATCCCACAACCCTAAACACTAAACCCTAAATCCTAAATCCTAAACCCTAAACCCTAAACCCTCCCCCTGCGAGGCCATGCTGCGCAGCGACTGGCCGAGCTTGACGCCCAGGGCCCGGCGAACGCAGGCTCAGGGCTGAAAGTGGTTTAGGGTTTAGGGTTTACGGCTTAGGGCTTAGGGCTTGTGTTTTCTCCGAGGGGGCGTATGGGCTGAGTCACGGAATTGGGCCGTGCCAGGGTGGGCGCGCACGGCCCTCCTCCATTGCGGTGCTGCGGCAGTGCTGCCGCCTGCAAAGGCACTGCAGAGGCGCTTGCCGGAGCCCAGTGCTCAGGGACTGGCGCGGCTGGGCTTGTGCAGGGGAGGTTCAGGCAGGTGGACCGGTTCTTGACGCTTTGGACTGAGTTTCTAGAGTCTGCTTGCTTCCTAGCCTAGCCTTGATCATAGCTAGGAAAAGAAGATGTATCCTCTTCAATGAGGTGCCCCGTCACCCTTTCCCTACCAGTAGCTGATGGTACTGTAGCTGCATGTCGTCTGCCTGAGCCCAGGAACAGTGTCCAGACGTTGGCGAAGCTGCAGCAGGTACCATTTACAGAATCGAAGCCTTCTGTGCATCATGGAGAATCTGCATGTGGAGCTCCACAAAAAAGGGCCGAGTTGGATTTCAGGCTACCGAAAGCAAAGGGCGTTAAAAACTAGATAAGCCGTCCATGATGAACCCTAGATTGACTTGTTGAAAAGTACATTGAAGAGAGCATTCGAAGCCGACATACGGCGAAAGTGGCGGAGAGTGGGAAAAGCAGAGTGGAAGGAGTCCGTCCTACAGCCCGGAACTTGTCGAACCACTAGCTGCGAACCTTGGGGACGAAATGAACCCTGAAAGGGTTTATGCTTCATATATACCTTAATAGGACTTAGCGCAGCCTACGGGATAGGCCCCCCCAGTTTTGTGGTTCATGTGGTGCCCCAAAAAAGTGAAGGGCTGTGGTTCCTGGGTGCAGGCCGGCCCTGAGACGGTCCAGGCAATGGCTGCGCAGCTTTGGCAGCGCGTTCCGGAGTGCTCCTGGGCTATTCCCACAGCGCGCACACCAACTGGGGGTTTCCGGAAACAGTGGGGGAGGGGTCCCCTTTTGGGGGGTTCCTATCAAAAAGGGTTTTTAGTATTTGGGGGGGTATATTCGGGTTCCCTATTTTTGGGAAATGCCCAACTTGACCGACTCAACAACTAGTGTAGACACTTTGGGGTTGTGGGTTGGGTCATTGGGCACAGGCTTGCCACAAATCCTAGAACCCCCCCAAGAGCAGCCCATGGCAGGTAGCCCCCAGGGACTGGCCAACAGGACGCGAACTCTTGGCAGCTTGCTGCACAGGGGCTTGGCGATCCCGGAGGCGCTGGGAGGCCGGATCGGAGTAGTGTAGCCCTAAACCCTAAACCCTAAACCCTAAACCCTTCAACTCTAGGGTTCCGTGTATGTTCCCTTACTTTGGGTCCCCTGACATACAACCCTTGTGCACTATACAGAATAAGGGCCCATGCTTCGGATCCCTTCAAACAAGGGTAAGGGACCATACGAAATGCCCATGGTTGCAACCTCAGATCAACCCTCCCCCATAAATCGGTACAGGTATATTCTGTATATTCCCTGAGCCCAGCACCAGTTGCAGTCCGACTCAGTCAGCTAGGGAGAACCCCAAAAGCCTTTATGAATATAGTAATTGAATGAAACAACAAGTAAAAAGCATGCATACATACATGCATATATATCTCTCTCTATCTATATACATATCTGAATATTGTAGTGTGTAAGAATATTCACAGTCATGAAATTGTCTCATGATTTTTCTCCGTCTCTCCAAGCGCAGGTTCTAGCATTGAGATGATCTGAGAGCCCTCGCCACAAAACCTGGCGAACGCAGCTTGTCCTGCTACATATACCCTTGACGGGAGTATATAGGATACTTACTTCCCCGATTCCCTATCACAAGCTCGTAGGGCATGGCCCTTGGGCGTGGTTGACATGGGTGGGAGGCAGCCTTCACGGAACATGGGGCACCAGCTTAAGCACGCCCACGGGAAACCCTAAACCCTAAACCCTAAACCCTAAACCCTAAACAGCCAAGGCAGCGCAAGGCTCCGGCAAAGTGCAGGTGCAACGCCCGCAGCTGTCCGATTCCTCTGGGGCCGCGGCTTGCGATGGTCTTTGGCATCCCGGCAGCACTTAAAGACCATGGCCCATGCCCTTAAGGTGCCCACTTTGCTCTTCGGTAAAAATTGTTACAAAAGGGCTGCTAACAAAAAGCAAAGCAATCAGTCCGGTTGTGCTCACCGGGAGGCAGGGGGGGGAGGTTACATATTGAAGGTCAGATGCCCGGAGGGATGGCTTAAGTGGCTG